TTATCCCCAAATTTTAGCTCTTTACATGCAGCTTAGGTCCTTCCACATTAATTGCTCCCTTGCATCCGGACACATAGACCCACCTATATAATAGATCCAAAAATTATTATAACCGTCTTATAATGTGTCATATATGGGTCAGTCCAGCCCATTAACTCATTGTCCCATTTCCTTCAACAGCTTCCACGCAAGCATTGAAGTGGCAAGGTGCAGCGGCGGAAAGAACAAGAAAAGAGAAGGGAAGAAGCTCGCTCGTGAAGAAGAGAGAAAAAGGAGAAAAAAGAGAAAAATCATGCGTTTTATTTTGTGAAATCAATTGGTGATATTGATTTTGAATTTGATTTCTTGTATTGGAAGATGTTGGTTTGGTGCTCAATACCGCTATGAACCCGATTGAGGATTTGTGCATACTAGTTTAGAATATCCTTGTGGGCGGAGCCACCGACAATATAGGTAGAGTCCTAGCCAAGGGGGAATCTTGGTCGCCTTATTACGGGGCATTATACGTGATTATGGTTAGAAATCTGAGCACGAGTTTGTTCAATGGAGTAAACCGTTGACATGTGATTTGAGATTAGTTAATGGAATAGACTATCAACATGTGGTTTAATAAGATTAATCAATGGAATAGACCATTGATTTGCGAGTTGTTGAGATTGATGAATGGATTGGACTATTGATGCTTGTTATGATATTATTGATTTAACGTATGTTTTCTTATATGTATATGATTATGTTAAAACGAAATAACTCATTCTTATCTTGTACGTGTATTATATATGGGATTTGAGACAAGCGAGTTCCGATGTTGTTTTTGCAAAGATACATAGTGAATGTTCGATCCGTTTAGAAGAGATGCATTTCTTATTGGGTTGTGATTACTCACCCCTTTCTTTTTCAAATCTTTTCAAGTCTCTCAGTTAGCGGCCAGTAGAGCGAGAGGGATATCGATTGAGGTCTTTGGAAATTGATTCTTTGGTTGTGTTTGAGGCTACGTCTTTTAGGTGAAAGGATAACCGTATCACTCCCCTATTTCTGTAGGATTCGGGGTGTGAAATAAAGAGTCCACTAATAAGGAGACTTAGCCTAAACAGAAAATATCACTATCATTAAGCAACTGAAAATGAAACTTGTCCTATTGCTACTCATATTTTTCAGAGTTTCTGATATGGCAAATATTTCAGAATACGAATTAGAGCTGGAAAGACAAGTTAAAATCATGAGCAAGCCAGCTGTCAAGACATTTGTGGTAAACATGGTTTCCAAACCATTTGATGATTCTTCAACTATGCACTTTTTTCTTTTTTTCCCATAGAATCTAGGATTTACCTAGCTGAGTCTCAAGCAAGTTTTTCGCTTTGAGAAACCATTTATCGGGTTAATGCTCTTATGAAGGCAAAGGAAGGGAATATCATTGTTTGCGTCGATATTAATAAACAACCGGCACTTGATCATCCTTTATTGAAGAATCATATAGTTCAGGTAAGGGTTTGTCAGAATTTTCCCCCAAAAGTCGAGCACAACTACACTAGAACGTGTTGTTAAACTCGTACTTATCTTCTTAAACTGTATGCGTTGATTTTTGGCTATTTGATTTTTTCTCTGTTGCAGGTAGAACCCAACTTACATTTTGATAGGTTCGAGAGATTTTCCTCATATGAAAAATCTCTTAACATTCGGATTGCGAGAGCCTTGCCCTGTTGGAATAGTACCCATTCCTCGAGTAACAAAAGAAAACTTGAGGAGGGCAAGATCTCTGCCTAAGATGCCGTCTGTAGCGGCTGTGTAGCACGATGCTCTTGCTTCTAATCAACATGTATGCTCTCTCTGTGCCCATCTTCTTTTTTTTTTTTGTGGAACCCGCACGGCCACGGGAGGTAAACCCGGGGCGACACGTGCTCCACCACACACGTGCACCGGTTAAGTAACCCTGCGGCACCCGGGATTCGAACACTCAACCTTTTGCGAGAAGAAGAGTGCGACCTCCAGCCGCGGTTTGATGATAATTAATTGCTCTATAGGATTTCCCAGTGCAAGTGAATTAAGAACTTTTCAATTTTTTGCCCCGCCGTAATGAGTTAAAGAAATCTTAAATTTTTGCAGGTGGTTTCTTTGAGAGACGATGCGATTGAAAGTGTTAAATATGGCTTGCATGGTGTAGTCAGTGTCTACAATTTAACTGTTGCTCACAACCAATTCAGTTCACATAATATGTGGATCGAAACCGGTCCTCCGGACCATGTTAGTATGATTGTAACCGGTTGGCAGACATGAAAATTTATATTGATATTGTGAATTTATGATTAAAAAAATCAAAAAAGCAATCTAATGAGATTGTTTTACTAGGTTGCTCCAGGTTTATATGGGCTTTTCACTTATTGGACGGTTAGTTTAAGAACAATAACTATTTCCACGGATAACCTTTCCAAAACCAACATTGAAATTAGAGGTAACTTGAACTGTCTTTTTACTCTAACAGGGTGATGGCTATCGAGACGGATGTTATAACATGTTATGTCGCGGCTTTATCCAGATAAATAGGGAATCAAGCCCTGGTACTCCTAAGCGCGCTGCTTCTACTTATGGGAGGGATGTTTTTGCACTTGCAATCCGAATTGATCAGGTAAGATTAGCTTTATAGTCGTTAAGATAATGGTTCTTATTTTGTAATAATAATGTATGAAGAATACAATTTTCTCATACTATGTTATGTATAGGGAAAATTATTCAATCTATCTTAAACCTATTGTAAGGATGCCAGTTCGGTCTTAAACTTATCAATTTTGCTAATGTAGTTTTAAACCTATAGTCATTCTATCCAGTTACCATTAGAAATCATTGACGTGGTGATTTATAAGATGTTCACATTAGTGTGCCACATAAGATGCATGGTGATGACTAGACTTCATGTCGGCAATTTTCGGGAATTGGCTGGAAGGTTTACGTTAGAGTTTTATGCAAAAGTTTGTGATTGAATTGACATCCGTACAATATGATTAGGATTGAATTGATAATTTCGTTGTTATGTACGTATGCCTGTAAGAGCATGATAATTTCACAATTCACGCTCCATACGTAAAATGACATACCTTGTTCTATATACATGATTAGCGCTATTTTTCTTTTTAAATCAAAACTTTCACCGTTCATGACCATAACATGTATAATATATAAACTGTTGAGCAAGTTTTTCTTTTTCCTTCCCTTAACCAGGATAGAGATACTGGAAACTGGTGGTTGCATTGCGACGATCCGCCGATAAGGGTTGGTTACTGGCCGAAGGAGCTATTCTTATACCAGCGCAACAGCTCACTCCATACAGCTTGGGGCGGAGTCAGCCTTGCCGGAAGCAATGGGGCTTGCCCCACCATGGGAAGCGGACACAAGCCCGACGGCGATTTCAAGCACGCCATGTACTTTAAAACCCTCAAATGGGTAGGCGCGACCGGCGACGCCTTGCCTCCTACGTGGAAGATTTCGGAGTGGGTCGATAAATCCAATGTGTATGGCTTCAAGAATCAATGAATTGCCATACTGTTTCACTCGTAGATGCAACTCTCAACCAGAAGATTCAACTCTAGAAATTTACTTTTGATGCACAATAATTTGTGATCATCATCAGCCCTCACTAGAAGCCGGACGAGGTCGCCAATCCTCATCCGACATCGTCAAAGGTGTCGGAAAACCTTAACTGTCGTCGTGGTCAGGGTTTGAAAGAAAACCTGGTTTTGATCGGAAAATTATAATCCCTCCCTATTCGAATGATCCTAGTTACGAAGGAGTGACGGTGATCTAGAAGCCCCAATTAGGGGTGAGCAAAAGGAATTGCCCAGATTGCCGGGAATCGCATGGATCGGATCAAACTGGCAGCGGTTTCCGGGGGCATCGGTTTAGTTCCAAGTTCCATAAAATTGGAACCTGTGAATTTCGGTCCGGCTGGACCGGACCGATTATTTCCTAAAAATCTGTAAAAAAAAAAAACCTTAACAAAAGAAGGTCCTTTAAGGCTAGATTGATTACGTTTACTTATGTATGTGAGTAAGATGATAAAAACTAATCAAAACACAACACTAGTTGCTCATTCCAAATTTTGCAACAAATTGGAAAAATCTCTGTGAAACCTACGGTGTTACATGTAAAATGCCTTGATTATCAAGAACATCTTCAATTTCACCTTGATCGTTAACGATAAATAAAAAAAAACTGAATATGCCATTAGTTTCATTGGCCTATCCGAGAACCGAACCGGATCAGATCGGTCGGTTCAGTTCTCGGTTCCAAAAATAGGGACCCAATCCCTCTAGTCTGGTTCCTAATTCATGTGTCAGAACCGGACCACCAGAGAACCGATCACCTCGAAAGCATGGACACTCTCTAGGGGCCTCCGTGTCGTGTCGGACACCAACACTCGTCCGACACTCTTTTTTTATTATTTTATTTATTTATGGATTTGAATCTTATTAATTTGATTGAAATAATCATAAAAACGATAATTTATCATGTATATATAAAAATATACATTTTATATACAATGTGTCTCAAAGTGTCAGAATTCTCATTTTTTGAGAAATGATGTGTCGGCGCGTCGTGTCGTGTCGCATCGCGCGTGATGTGTCGGTATCGGTGCTACTTAGCTGATCACCCCTAGCTTCAATCATCACCGCAATGGGGCTTCTAAAACCTGAATCTTTCCCATGATGGAGGACAACATCAACACACCATTCTTTGTTTTATAGAGATATCGCCACCTGGTCTTGCAACTCGGATGGGATTGGAACTGGATTTAAAGTTTGACATGTTTTTTTATAGGCCAAGATCGCTTTCAGGCCTCCTCCATGTACAAATACATAACACAGATCAGACGAGAAAGCTCCAGAGGATCCCACGACCGGCTATAACCGGTGGCGGGTCGACCTGTTAACCGGCTGCATCAGGTGAAGTCGGACAAGGGCTATATATATACAGAGAGCTGGTTGGACACGTGACACGGTATCCCCTGATCACCAGCTTCCTCGTCTCGGCTCTCTTGATTCAGAATCACACAGAGACAAACATCTCCTCTCTCTTTTCTCTCTCTCCGAATCTCTTCGATACCAAACCTATAAAAGCCCCCACCCTTTCAATAAATTTTCCCCACTTCGATCCCTTACGCTCTGTCTTCTTCTCCCTCAGCGAGATCTTTCGGCTCTTGGGTCCTCCGAAATACCGGTTCTTGATTTCGTGTGTCCGTGGTGCCACTTGAATTCTTGAACCTGTTGGTTCGGATCCGACCCATCTGGTCCCAGATCCGCAACGGGTCGAGTGATCTCGAGGAACTAGTAACTGGGTTGGTTTGATTCTTCCCCAACTCGTCCTGATCGGCGGAGACTAACAGGGAGGAGATCAATCTTAAGTTGTACAGCTAGGGTTAAGAGGGATTTGCTGAATTTCTCTGGGTGTAAGAGAGGGTTTGCGATTCGTTTGGTTGGCGTGTGAGAGTTACACTTGGGGAAGAGTGAAGGAATTGAAATTTTTTCTGTAATGGCCGAACAAGTAGAGGGGCTTGAAGGGAGCCAACCGGTGGATCTCACCAAGCATCCCTCTGGCATTGTTCCCACCCTCCAGTAAGTCAGTCTTTGTAATCTAAATGTCTCTATGTCTCCCGATGGGAGTTTGCGGGTGTTCCTCGTCCGGGGAGCTGGGAGCCTATTGAAGATCTCTGTGTGCTGGTTTTAGCAAGTATGAGTGAAGATGGAAAAAAGTTGTCAGCTCGAGTGCACAGTTTTAACCACGTATCTGGGGGTTCCTCCTCATTTAATAGAAAATAGAAGTCAGTTGATAAGTGGCTTGCGCGACAGATTTTAGTGCTCATCAAAGGATGCGTTGTCAGTCATTGTTCATGTTCGGTTGATTTGAGTACTAGCTGCCATTGAAGGTTGCTTCATGGCGCCAATTGTTTGTTGGGCTTCATGAATTTCTGAAACAGTTGAAATTATTTCTGTATACTTTGGAATGGAGTACACAATTTCAAAATGCACTTGAAAACATAAAATGGCTAGAATTTGCCTCTTATGGGTCTTTTATTGCAATTGAACCATATTTGTAAAGTGTACCTTGGAATTATATTGAAGAGTAGATAGGGAATTAAGCTTTTGTTTCCTTTTTATTGAAGCAAATATAGTACTGTACGAGGCAATTCACTTCATGTTAGAGCTAGGTTTCTGTTTTTTGACTCGTGTCGACTTTGGATCTACTTTGTCTATGTTAGAGTAGTTTGATGCTGAATGGGTTGGGCTCTCAAGAATGACCTGCGAGGCTATGAAAACAGCATCTGATTTTCAACTAGCTTGATATATCACTATAACATTATGAACATTATGGCTCAAGGGAACTTCAATATTTTTTTGTGATCACATGTTCATAGGAACATAGTCTCAACTGTCAATCTGGATTGCAAGTTGGATCTTAAAGCTATTGCGCTGCAAGCTCGGAATGCTGAGTATAACCCAAAGGTACTTGAAATTTTGTGAAGGAGCTACTCTATCGTGGTACCCTTTCTTTGAAAAGTCAATAAAATTTTGGAGGTGGTGGACGCTGGGAAATAGAGCTCTGCAAATTGTGTTTTAAATCAAACCTATGGAGTCGCTTCTCCTAAACATAATCATACTATAGAGCGATTCATGGCAAAAGAACTTCTCTCTGTTGTCCCCCATTCATTATGGTTATGGGCTTTATTTATTACTACTTTACTTGCTATAGTGGCTGCTTTTGTTGTGCTCCTTAAGATCTGGCCAATACAGAGTTGGTGCTCAGAATGTGGTAAAGCTCTGGTTTAGTGCCTAACTTCTTTTTCGTCTTTACAATGCAGCGTTTTGCTGCAGTCATCATGAGGATTAGGGAACCAAAAACGACAGCTTTGATTTTTGCTTCTGGAAAGATGGTAAGTGAATTTAGGTTGTTAAGATCAAAACTCAAGCTAACATTTCTGTATATATATCTTGGAAATACCCCTGTGGTTGTGCTTGTATCTTTTTGTCCAAGATCGATAGTTTTGTTTCTTTGTGGGCCTAATGATGCCTGACAATTATGAGGATTTTAAAGTCTTCTTGTCACTTTATGTTTAACTTCTTCAACAGTGTTTCCAGGATTAAGTACTTTAGTCCTTGTAATGATCCGAACTACTCTTTTTAAGACAATTCTTTTATTTTTTTTCTTCCCATTGAGCATAAGAACTTGCATCTGTCTTGATAAGACGGGAACTCCTGTTGTTTAGATTTTGGTCTATTACTCTCTTTTGTTGCTGTTGTGCTTGATAAAAAAAGCTACATTTGCACTGCTTCAGGTTTGCACCGGGGCGAAAAGTGAACAACAATCAAAGTTGGCAGCAAGAAAGGTACTTTAACTTTTCATATACACCCATCATTTTTCCCCTGAAGAAAATTGCATGATTAAAGTAGATTTAGCTAGCTTCAACTTTGGCAGACTTTAGTTATTATCAAAACTGGGCAAGATCTCGACTTTTATTGCCATCTGCATGTATTTATTGCAGTGATGGTGATTTATTGGATTAGAGTAGCATTTAGTTCTCAAGTATCGCATCTGAAGGTGTTTTGCTTTCTTCCAGTATGCAAGGATTATCCAAAAGCTTGGGTTTCCTGCCACATTTAAGGTATTGTCCTTCCTCTCTCACTCTCTGGCATTTATATACACTTTTCTGGCCTATCGAACTGGCCACTTCGTGGAGCTCTTGCGGTTATCAATGTGCTTTTGTTTACAATGACTGGCAGGACTTTAAGATTCAGAACATTGTTGGCTCCTGTGATGTGAAATTTCCGATCAGACTTGAAGGTCTTGCATACTCTCACGGTGCCTTTTCAAGCGTGAGTGCCTTTTCTCCCCTGGTTCTGCAGTAACAAAAAGTTTGTAATCAGCAGTATCAGAGTTGCCGAATGAGATTCGTGAAGAAGTGTAAAATCTCTCACCCTTTTTGTTTGTTTAACTGCTGAAACACCTTTTGCATCAGTAGCATTCTAAATCAGAGTAGCTTGCCATAAACTTCAAAGAACAGTTCACAGGTTCCTTTTCAATTTTCTTTCGCGGGGATCTGTTCTTTCTCTCATATAGGAAATGCTTTTTAGCATTATCAATTTCAGTCAAAAGTTTGTCCTTTGGATTTGTTTTTACTTATATGTTCCAGTTAAGGAGTCGAATGTTTCTTTTTAAGTAGAATCTACATATTGCTGTGTGGCTGCTCTGCCATCAACAACACTACGAGCATTGGCATTTATTTACTCGATGAGGACTTATCTCTTTCCCACTCTGATGCAGTATGAGCCTGAACTCTTCCCTGGTCTAATATATCGCATGAAACAACCCAAGATAGTGCTCTTAATTTTCGTTTCGGGGAAGATTGTACTTACTGGGGCAAAGGTGATCGGCCTCTTCCCTGACTTGTCTGCTCGCTACTACTTTGATGTGATCAATGGACTGACCTTCCTTCTTTGGCTGGTTTAGGTGAGGGATGAGATTTACACTGCCTTTGAAAACATATACCCCGTCCTCACCGAGTTCAGGAAGGTCCAACAATGGTACATATCTTGCTCTACTGTTTTGGGTATTATAAACACTATCTGAATTTGCTTACTTTGTGTGCGGGCTTGATATTATTATGAGCATGTATATAAGAAAATGAGTAAACTTTTGTGGTGGCAGATCTCTGAAATGGGTATAACTCTGTCTGGCAGAAATTCTCGGGGCAAAATATATTTTTCATCTGCCGTGAGACGAAGTAGTTTCAAGTGTAAATACTCGAAGAGAAGAGGAGCAGAGGTGGTCCATCCTTGAAAGGATTGACTCGAGAATTTGAAGTCTTTTGGGGTCTCTGTGGGTCGAACCATAGTTGCACTACAGTGGGTTCTCTGAAAATTTTGTTGTAATTAGTTAGCTATGGTTGAGAGGCATGTGCAAAATGGAAAGATGTTTAGATGGTCATCCTTTCGTGAATGATTATCGTTTGAGGAGTATGTGTATGGAGCAGCCCTGCGTCAAGTCTTCTGAAGGTCAACAGTTTTTTTTTTTTTTTAGTTAATCAAAACGAAAATAAACATTCATCAAAAAGAATACAAAAGACAAATTATAGAAAAGTCACATTTTTTCTTAAAAGAAAGGGGATAGCACGATAAATAGTAATTGTTGGGATGCAATACATATGACTTTAAATTCCAAGGTAAAATGCCACATTTTTCTCAATACATATCACCTCTCTCCCCATACATGCTGCAAAAGCACAAAAGCAGAAGACCAAAAGCTTCTTCGGTATCCACTCCGGCATTATCAAGCGAAATTATCAAGCATCATCAAAGCAAAGCCAAATTGAAACCACAACACCAATTAGCTGTGTAAGGGAATGCACCATCAGCAAACATAAATCTCAATCCGGTAAAAATAACTAGTCGAGATGCCAATTCAACAAACACGATCCATAAGCCGAACATTACCAAACGAATATGAGTCGATTCCTGCAAACCCAAACAAAATTTCTATAAAGCATTGATCAGCACGCTATGTGCGAGTTACTGACCAAACGGTGCCGAACAAATTGACAAAGGTAAGTCAGACAAATATATTGAAGAACGCTCGGCTCAAGCACGCATCAAACCACCAGATGTCAAAATGCCTAAACACTCCTCGAATATACATATAAATACAAGTAAGGCATAGGCATATCAACGAACAAATGCTAGACGTTTCAGTAATGAAGGCCAAATGCAAATGTATAGCTCGTAAACTCATCACTCAGATCATCACAAAGCATCGTAGCGCATTCAAACAATTAACATACAAAAATTCTTCGATTACGCGGATGATTTTATACCAAAGAAAGTGGCTATAGTTCAAATTCTTTTTCTCTTTTTTTCCTTTTTAACGAATAACAACAGGAAACGGAGCATTTGTTTTTACCGGCGGCGTGAAGATCTAGAAGCCTCTATCGACTGGGATACGAGATCGATGAAGTACTCCGAGATCCGCGACGGCAAGAGCGCTCGGTGACGACGGAACTCACGCTCGGAATCACTTCGACGAGCGGAAGTGGAAGCAAGAGCGGCGAGTGCGAGGACGCCGAGGAGCAAGGCGTGGCGAAAGCGGGAGCGAGGCGGAAGTGGAAGCGGAGGGACAAGGTGAATTAGGGTTTCTAAATACCAAATGTGTAGTTTATGTTTTAATTTTTAGGGATCCTGCTCCCGTCCCGGTTCTTGTTCCTGGTTGCTCGGTTCCGTGTAGCCTTGGAGTTCCAGGTTCTATAGGAACCGAACCGGAACTGGGAACAACCGGTTCCTAAAAATGGGAACCGAGAACCCTCTCGTCCATGGAACCTCGGGAACCGAAGCAGGACCCACCGGGTCCGGCTTCTCCAAGGTTCTCGGCTCCCACTCGGAACCGCGCTCACCCCTAGTATGGAGCAAAACTTACGTCAAGTCTTCGAATTTGTGAAATTTAGTGGACTCGATGTGCCATGATACACTCATGGATATATCTGTACTGTTGAAGAAGAAAAAAGGAAAGAAACGAAATTTGATTTCTGTGATAATCTTTGAATTTTGCAAATTTTTTAATTTCTGATTTTTTTTCTTGGTTTTTCCGCCGAGTGCTGGCCACAGGTAACGACATCTTGGCTGGGCGAGCGAGGGTGAGGCGTTGTGGCGGGTGAGGCGAGAGCCGTTACTCCCTTGCTTGTGGCCTGCGATAGGTGGAGAAGCAAGAAAAAGAACAAAGAAAAAAAAGGAAAGGACAAAAAAGCAAAGAGAAAAGAAAGAAAAAGGAAAATATAAGAAAATTGAAAAGAAATTGCAAAAATCGTCCACATTAGCGATTTTCGGTCAAAATTGGTAAGAAGAATTATATTGGAAATTTTTTTAAAAAAAATTATGTCTGAATTGGTCATTGTACAATAAATTTATAACTTTTTATATAATTATCTTGAAAGATGATTTTTGTGAAGGGGCAAAGTGCATTCCAAGAGGTAAAACTCACTTAAGTAATATGTATGTTCCAAAAATAGAGATATATGGATAGTTATAAGGTGAAATGCGAGGAAATCTTTGATAATTTCTATTCTTTTTTGTAAAATAGCTTAATATTAATGAACATTTTTTGATCAAAGGAATCGGGGCCCACCTTCAATCTCTCAGGGCATGCATGACAATCATTATGTATCTTTGTTTTTCTATTTTGTTGTTCCTGGAAACAAGTTTGAAACAGAAATTCATTTGGTAACACAATTTCATTTTTCTAATTTTGAGACAAATTTTTAATCCAGAAATGGGTTTGGAACATAAATGAAAAGTAAAAAATTTATTTTTCTATTTCTGGAACAAAACAGAAATAAAAACTCTCTCCCACTCACTTTCCACCACTGCCACCACCACCTTTTCTCTCTCTCCCACCACCTCCTCCTCCTCCGCCACCACCGACACCGCCACCTCCACCACCCTCTCCCCCTCCTCCACCTCTGTCGACCTCCTTGAGGGCCACCTTGCCGCCAAGAACTTTTGGAAGGTCGACGAGGAGACCCATCCCCTTCTCATCGCCTTGGTCGACAATGCTGCCATCAAGTGCGGCTATGTCTTCAATTCATCACTGCAGCCGACCTCAAGGCGATCGATGACCTATGACGTCTCCATGGTAATGACCATTTTGGATACATCATCCATAAAACGCTGTAGGACAAGACCAATAGGGACTTCATGAGGTTCTTCATCAAGGTCAGTTGGATGAAAAAACTGGACATGGACGTTGAGCAGTACAATTATGGGTCATTCCCAACCGAGTTCATGTGGAAGCTAAAGGAGGTAAGGATCACTTGCCACTCACCAAAGCATTGAGAGGGACTCAGTTGCTCAACAACCTCCTCACTCACCTTGCTTTCGCTGACATGGAAGATAAAGAAGTAGACAAAGAAGAAGAGGCACAAGAACAAGCTGATTCAGCAATCAAGAAAGGCGGGTTGTTGAAAGGGTTAAAGGACAAGAATGCCTCCTCAAAGCCACAACCCAAAATAATGGTCAAACCAGACTACAATAGAATTATTCAACTCTAGGCATTCTTCACTAAAGAATGTCATTGAGAGATCATTTGCGGCATTAAAGAATCACTTCTTCATTTTGAGACACATATCTTCATTTACAGTTCGAAAGCAAGCACATATTGTAATTGCATTTTGTGTTATCCATAATTACATTCGTGATCAAGACATGAGAAATAATAACTTTTCCTTATATGGAGATATAGAGTACTTATTGGGACCTACACAAGAAAAATTTTGTATCGTTATTAAACGCGTTTTTCTGCTCAGAAACTCGTCTGGGGAATAGAAATAGAAAAATCTATTTCTGGCCATAAATTATTCCCAGAAATATAATGGTTATTATTCATGCCCTCACCTGTCAATGCATCCTTTTATCATTTTATGAGAAATAACATGGTACATAGAATCACTTGTTCAAATCACATTCAAGGGTGTGAAAAGTATTGGATTTAGGCCCCATTTGTTTCTTGAATAAATGAATGATTTGGAAAGTGTTTTTCTAAAAATAATTGCTTGTATCGTTTGAAATAATTAATTAATAAAAATATTTTTATTATAAATAACAATTTATGTTTAAACATTTTTGTGGATACTGAAATTATTTTCATTTATTTATTTTTGTTAGCGATCACCTTTAGGAAAATATTTTCTAAATCATTCATTTTCTAGAAATTTTTTTCCTCATTTTTCAATGTTTGGTTTGCTTAGGAAAATGAGTCAACGGAAAGCCTATCCTTAAATTCAACAAAATGATTTTCTTTTTAAAAAATAGAAAATCATTTTCCAATATATGGCTGGGTATTGGCAATTGGACTCAAAACTCTACGTTTTGCCACGAAAACTCCAGCGGTGGTTCTTGAGTCCCCGACGTTCGGGACCAAGTCTCCCGCGCCAGAGCCTGGGTCTATCGAGGCTAAGCCTATGACATTGGTACCCATGTTGGGGTCCCCGATGCCCGGCCCTAGTTGATGTTGAGCCTGAGAATCCGATGGATGGGCCCGGGTCCAAAGGCCGAGCACAGGATCTAGATACCCGAGCTCAGATCCCCAACACCCGGGCTCAGATCCATAAAGGTCATGTCAGGATCCTTGACGCTCGTGCTTTAGTCCCTAGCATTCAGGCCCGAGTCCACAAAGGCTATGCCTGAGTCCTCAATGCTCGGGATTAGGTCCTTGGTGCCCAAGCCAAGGTCCATTGAGGCCAAAGCCTGGGACCCTGATGCCCATGCTTGGGTCCCCGGTGCCCATGCCTGGGTCTATCAAGGTTGAGCCCAGGACTTCGACACTCGCACTTGGGTCTATTGAGGCCGGACTTGAGACTTTGGTGGCTCTACCCATTCCCCGGCTACCTAGGCGCAAGTTTCCATTGCTCGACTAGTGTATGCCTATTTAGGAAAGTCACACAAGATTTTCCAAATCAAATGGTAGGAAAATATTTTTCAGTTTATTTTCAGGTTTCAGCAAAATATTGGAAAATAGTCATTTCCTGGAAAATATTTTCAGAAATGTCACATATTCTAGAGAAATAACCGAAGCCTAGGGTGTGTTTGGTTCATGGAAAATGAGCGATTCGGAAAGTATTTTCCAAAAAATGATTGCTTGAATCACTTACAAAAATGATTGAACGAAAAATATATTCATTATCCATGAAAATGTTTAGATTTAAATTGTTATCGATAATGAAAATATTTTTGTTTCCTAATTATTTAAAATAATACAAGCGATTGTTTTTAAATCATCCATTTTTTGCGGACCGTTTGTTCACGGAAAATGGATGATTTGGAAAATATTTTACTATAAACAATCGCTGTATTTATTGAAATAACTAGTTAACAAGAAATATTTTCATTAATGACAGTAATTTATGTCTTTAAATTTTCGTGGATGGTGAAGATCTTTTTCGTTTGTTCATTTTTTATGCAACACATGCAATTGTTTT